ATACTTAAATGATGGTGAGAGTTATCTTATTTATAATCATTTACAGAATACAAAAATACAATAAAAGAAAAGAATAATAGATGAATACAATATATTTGTCTTTAATGAAAGAGCAATTATAGGAAGCTGTAATGTAAAGCAAATATCTAGATATTTGCCTTGTTCATCAACTATCAAATCTGGATTTGTATTATGTTTAACTGACAGCCCTACCAACAAATATAAGATCTTTGAAGTTGGTAAATAGAAATATGAAAACATGAACAGAGAGAACAAAGGCTTCAAAATTAGGTTGGATTAGCCAAGTTTTTTTTTTTTTCTACATCTACATACATTTCATGTTGGCATGAACCAGAGGAGAAAGAAAGGAAATAATATATATAACCAATGGGATTCCATTTGTTACCCATAGAATATGACTAATTTTCTAGAATGCCATCAACACCTTTAAAGTGGCATCAGTCTTTTGTATCTGAAAAACCAAACAAATGCAGAAAATATGATAATCCCACTTACTCCTGTAATTAGAAGAACCCACTTGAATGCATCAGGATTCCCAAACATTGGTATTTCAAAATTCATCCCAAAAATTCCAGCTACCACCCCGAAAATGGCAACAACGAATGTTGCAGTTGTGAGCAGTAGCTCAAACTGGATCAACTGATTCCGTACGTTATCCTGCACATGAACATCTCTTTGAGTAATTGGAACAAAAATAAAGCAATATGATACAACGCTATGATCGGCAAGTTTTGAATTCTCTAACAGTTCAGATATTCTTTAGGTGAAAAGGAGGGAATTTAGAAGCATTAACCAAATTGTAAAATTTTTTCTTCATTTCATATGTTTATATCAATATTGGGATCGGAGCAATTTTCTTGGGAATCACAGGCAAGATGGAAAACAAAGCTAGTTCATTGGAGAAGAAAATGGTAGAGATAGTTGAGAAACAATCAGGAACGGAGGAGAAGATGTTGAGGATTGTTGGGAGAGGAGTCCCACATCAGATGATTAAGGGGGCTGATCATGGATTTATAAATAAAGAATACATATCCACTAGTATGAAGCATTTTGCGAAAACCAAAAGTAAAGCTATGAGAGCTTATGCTCAAAGTGAACAATATCATATCATTCTAGAGGTCCATGATAGAAGATGGATCTAAAATTTGGGGCCTACCAATATTATAATCGAGAACCCAACAGTTGAGTAGATAGAATGATGTATGAACTGACAAAGGAAAAAATAAAGAACATGAGCATACCAACTGGATGTTGATGAAATCTTCTGTGTCATCAATGTACTCCTTCAACTATAAGAGGGAAAATGAAATAAAATTGTTAGTTTTATCCCAGTGGAAAAGGAGAAACAAAAACTAATTAAGACTCGTGTGCAATGAGTACCGATGTCAACTTGTTCAAGGTGCTGTCAATGACAACAAAATATGCTTCAAGAAGCATCTCGAGCTCCTCTATACTTTCAGTGGCACTTTCTGAACTTCTCATGCTCTCATGCCGACTCCTTGCAATGCTCAGGCTCTTCTCAAGCTTGCGAGTTTCAGGCGGTGAAGATACAGGAGAAACAGGAGCTGAAATAGATGCTCCATCGATTGGCCTGTATCCAGTCACAGACTGATCGCCGTAAACAAAGGACTCCATTCTCATTTTCTTCTCAGTGAGATACATTTCTGCCATGTCTCCATCATCATCCATGAGCTGCTCTATTTCATCCCTAACCTAAAAAGATGCAGCTCAAATAGAGAACATAGAGAGAAAATTGTGCAGCTACCCATTTACTTGCATAAACCAGGATCACTAGAGTGAATGCAGAGTACCTTCTGAACCCTACGAGTCAGGGCAACAAGTCTGCTTTTCAAGCGACGGACACGCTCCAAATTTAATGTACTGATTTTCGACGTAAGTTCATCTAGCAATGGATATGCTTCAATTTCTAATTCTGCAGCCTTTAGGGCAACGAGCAAATTATATGAAGAAATCATCACATTATTAGAAGAACCAATCACTAGCTAGTAAAAATATGATGAAATAAATCAAGGATGGCTTCATTTAATAGTATGTTATCATTATTGCTAAGCCAGAAAGTCCTCAACAAATACAGCAACACCATAGGATAACTTGATCGGTGATGCCCTAATTAGTCGGAAGTCTACAGTGATAAACTACAAGCAGGATAACCTTTAACTTTAAATCTTCAATCTGATGAATTTGAAATGAGTAATAATTAATCTTACACCAAAATGCATGATAATCAGACCTGTTAATATGTTTCAAATGTCAGTATGGAAAAGCATTCCTTAATCTTCTATTTCTACTTTTTTTAAACAAAAATTACAAACTCAAAACACGAACAATTAACATGCATGAAACAAATAAGAGCAAACAGCTCAAACTTCTATTTCTACGCACCTGGGAATCAAGAAATGTACAAGCTGCCTCCAAAGCAACTTCTAAAGCCCTGAACTCAAAGGGCAAATAATCAGGAGAGGTGGTGTTTGCAAATAAATTATCGAAATTCCTACTTCCTCTTCTTCGATTTAAGTCAGCTCCATGATTTCCATCATTTTGCCAAACCTCATCGACCCCAGTGGTTTTCAAACGTCTTTGTAGCTCTACCACATACTGCAATACATAACTATCAAGGGAATTTAACAGCAGAACTTCTTCGGCTGTTATGATACATCGAATCTGCTCCAGATTGACCACAATAGCCTTCTCTCTACCAAGAATTGTGGAAGGGTAAACAAACAAAGGGTCAAGCAGGCGCAAATCACGTGCAGGTAGATCACAACGACGCATCACAGTGAACTTATCGATCTCAATAATCTGGGAGTTCCCAGAAGAATCTACCCGGATCCAAGATCTTAGTCCCTGGCCTCGCTTCTTCAGCCCTAAAACATCCACACCTTGAAATGGCACCCTTCCAGAGGCCGATGGCCTATTATTAACAGCCTCCCTAACATTTATAGCAGATGCAGGTTTCGGAGGAAGCAACCGCTCTTTGAGATCCGCCATTTACACAAATATCTAGATGAAACAACATAAAATAGTTGGAAATCAACACATACCAACTCAACCACATATATCTAAGCTGAATATATATATATATATATATAGCTATACAAACGCTCGTGTCGAGTCAATCAATCACGCAGTTCCAGTTCGAACAAACAATAATCAGCAACATAATAGCAAAAAAATTCAATATCTTAAATGCAATAGTGATTAAACAATACATTCGCAATGCTCGTGTAGTCTACAAGGGAAAGTAACACATCAGTAATTCTCAACCAAATCTATTTCTAACTGGAATAACTCAACCCTAAAGATGTAACTGCCAACCGCAGGTATCAAATCATATAACGAAACAACAGAGGACGAAAAGAAAAAGAGAATCACCTCCAAAGGAGAACAAAGGCGGCGGTTCTCAGAGAGCGTACGACAGATACAAATATAGAATTCCTTCTCACGAGCTCGGAAATGAAAGATTTCACAGAGGAAAACCTATTCAGTTAAGAATTCAACATCGAAAGATGAAAGAAAACCTAGATTGCAGAGGCGAGCGAATGAAGCACCAGAAGTCTGAGAATTCCAATTGCCGTATGAGAGAATGATGAACAGAGATTGAAGACGGAACCGATAATTGATCAAGAATAATCAAGAAACCGAGCCTACCAGGTTCAAGAATCTCAGCATACAGTGATGCTGACCATATCATCACAAACAAAATTAAGTATCAATTATTATTTCTCAATTATGGCAAAATTAAATTTCTCTCTCTCTCTCTCTCTCTTTCTTTTTGGTTAAATTATACCAAATACATTTAACAATATTAGATACTTTAAAGTGTTTTATTTTACTAATTTCTTTTGGTAAAAATTAAAAGTTTAAAAATCTAGGGTAAATTAATTTTAATTGCTTTAAGTTATTATTTGTGTGATAAAAATATGTTAGTTGATTAATAAAGTTAATAAAATTTAATAATGAACACAATTAGTTAGTTTAGAATTATCATACATAGTTAAACACAACCCATTATTATCTTAGACGTTTAAATTATAAATTTTAACAATTAGTATTTAATATATATTATTCATCATATATTGTTTTAGGTTAATTTATAATTCATATGAAACATATTACTAATAGTATTTTTCAAATATGAATTAATATATTTTTCACTAAGTTTCAATAGTAAATATTTAATTATGAAAGAAAAATGATTATTAAAATCAAAATACATATTAAAATAATAACATAGTTTTTCATCAAACTAGTGTTCTTCAGACAAATTAATCTTAAGAGACCAAAAAAAAAAAAAAAAAAAAACAAATCCAAATAAATATGCTACATAAGGATTATACATCTTAAATGGATGTAACTTAAAATTAGTATTTAATAAGTTTGAACTTAATTAAAAGAACCTCTTTCTAAACAATATATAACTTCTTTTATGTTCATAAAGTGATTTGTTGTTTTTGACATTTAGTGCTAGGAAGATATGTTTCAATATTTGTAATGGTTTGTTCTCGTGTTTTACTAATTATCGATCTCAAAACATAGGAGCACAGAAAATTGACCTTCATCGTGAGGTAAACCCGTGTTCACACGCTCTTCTCGAATTGTTACTTCCAACACAAATGAAATACCCTTTTTATTGGAAAAGTAACAAAATTTAAATTAGAAACACGTCCCTAAGAGACATAATTGGATTATATATTTTTTTTCATTAATAAATAAATATGATCATCTCAACCTCTTAATGACAAAAAAAAATAATCACATATTCATGTTGGTGGGTTTTATTAGTAAAAAAAAGTCTATTTTTTTCGAGAAGTGGCTAATTATTGACAGAGTAGCCTATTAAAAGTTTTTACACCATCAATCTTTTAATGTAAAATAGGTAGGTTTTCAGTTTCTAGGGGCAGCCCGGCAGGAATTAGGCAGAGGGAATGACAAACTGCAAAAAATTAGGCTCCCATCAATTAATGTCAAAACAGCAATATGAACATTCATTCTGCTTGAAGTTTTCATATAAATCCATCATAACATAGAAACAAGCAAGGAAAAAGGAACAAATTAATGCAAGGAAGCAATGTTAATGACATTCTGCTACATTTTATCAGTTACATGTATGAATCAAAATGGATGAATGAACTTTTGACCTACAATGATCTTCATTTCTTATAAATACAGATCCCACCAAAGAGAAGAAGAACCAATAAATGAGAAGCTTTGTACCTCAAGGTCCCTACGTATCATAGAAATTTCAATTTTCCTTTAGCCAGAGAAGCCTTGGCATGCTCCAGATGACACAATTCTTTTTGAGCTCCAGTCAAACCCGAACAAGACGATGCAGTAGCCCCTAATGTGATTGCAAAATAAAGGTAGATTGTGCAAAGGCAAGTCAAGAGTGCCAGTGCGGTTAAGAGGAAGCGATGTCGATTGAAGAGAGTTGACCAACTTCCCAACTCATTTGCAGGAAAATGCTTCCTAAATGTTGGGGTCCTCCTGCGAGGAGAAGCTAGAATGTTGTCAAGAACCATGTTCTAGAGCTCTAATCTTCCTCTGTGATCTGAAACTTAGCACCAAATTCAGAATCGTCTACAAAAGCAAAAGGGGGGCAAGATTAAACAGATAGCCACAATATCCCTTTTCTTCAGCAAGTGTGTTTCAATAAATTCAGATACCATTCAAACATATTAGAATTTGAAGAAGTAAGATGCAAGATGTCAATGTAATCTGCAGCAGGCAACAACACATTATGAAATGCACGAAACAATAAGATCATCAAAAGCTTGAACAAAAGCATTAGGTCTTGAAAATTGAACTCAAGGATTTGTTGAATTCGAGGGAAGATAAAATGCAACAAAACTTGTAGACATCAGTAGTAGAAGGCTCGCCTGAGAATTAAAATTTGTGATATTATAGATGGCATGAATAGAAGTCTCAATATTCATTTCCAACGCATAACTTTTAACTAGATATTCAAGAGTTATACATCAAGAAAACAATTAGAATTGCTTTTATATTTTTCAAAGCAACAACAAGTCTCAACTATAATACTCGAGCTCTCTCTTCTAACCCATCCCAAATCGAAGTTAGAGGAGCAAAATAATCAAAGGCCACCGGTCCATGGACAAATAGCGGCAAGTAACCCATAGAAATTAACCTAAAACACGAAAAAATGTCTCCTCATGCCAGAAACAAGAATTTGTCCAGAGCATTAAACCATATAATTTCATATAATTTCCGTAGATAAAATCCCCATCCTCAAAACGCCACACATAATCTTATCAGCTCGGCCCAACTCCAAATCCATAAACATCAGTATATGATCTACATTTAAAAGCAAATTAAACACGCGATACAAATCCACATCGCAAAAGAGAGAAATTAATACACCAAAACGACGCTAATACCAGAAGGAAAAGTCAAATCCGATCCAATCGATCTGCACATTCTCCAAAAATAATGAGCAACATCCATGACAATAGAAGACAAGAAGAAACTCAAGAACAACGCAATATTCGGCAGAAATATCAAATTTAAGAAAAAGAAATCACAAAAGGCAGAAGAAGAGCAGATCTGAGAGAGACAATGTATTACAAGTCACGAGAAATGATGAAACGAGACAGTGAATCTTACAGTCAATAAACAGACGCGCCAAAGGAGATTGCAAGAAAGGAGAATTTGCTGTTCTTCGAAGAGATCGAGAGAGAAAGAAAGGTGAAATTTTTTTCGTCCGCGGGTCACGGTTTTATAAAGTATACGAAAGCCACAAGATCAGGTTGTCCGCTCTCTTGCGCGTTTTGAACCGGTTTTTTTTTTTTTATCGTTAATTTAAGTTTCAACGGCCGTTTGATAATTTTATCGTTCCTCTAATTAAAAAAATAAAAATAAAAATAAATAAATAAAACTTCTAAATTTTGCATGTAAGAAGTGGTTGAACTTTTAATTTCATTTTAATATAATTTTTAAAATTAGTTGATATTATACGTCGAGAGATACATAAAACTAAAAATTGAAAATTTTAAGGACTTAAAAACTTAAGGTCTGAAAAAACGAGCTTCCATGATGTTTTAAGCCTGTTAGATAAGCATATTTCCAAAGTCAATAAAAAACTTCCCAAAACCATGAGGCATAGTCAGTTGATATTTCCAACCAGTTAGCGACAAATGAGCTTTAAATAAAACATAAAATACCAATTCTGACCATACTAGAGAATAATTAAATTTCCTATTTATTAGTACAGTATATAAAATGTAATGCAAAGAAGACTCAAAAAGTGAAGAAGAATATGCTGACAAGGATACCAATTCACCTTAGCACCAAAAATAATGAATACAGTGCGGTTAACATTAATTCTTTGTTTGTTGGTTAGTCATCAAAATCTCCAGAATTCTCCAGTAAGTAGTTAGCTGCTAGTTCCTCGTTGCGATCACACGCCAAAAATGCCTCGATGACTAAGGCTCTATCGAATCCCATCGCCTCGAGCTACGCAACGGAACAAGCACAAAATGTTTGAGCACACAGATCCAGTTTGAAGAGGGAAAAACAAGAAAGCACGTCAGGAATTATAAAGGAGTTCATTCATACTCGTTCGATGGCTGCCTGTTCGGCTGGAGTAACGTTAATGGCATGAGGCATGTCCGGGTCAGCCTGTTCAAACATCTCTCTGAAAGAAAGAAAGAACACAGTTTGTCACATCAAAAGAAGTTCGGCTCATGAACTAATTAATCAATCGACGAACAACATCTCAAGTAAACCAGATCCAGAAACAGTTCTTGTTCTTCAGACAAGGGGTTTCTAGTTATATGTGCGTGATCAAACCCATCTAAAGAGCCAGTTAACCTAGGAGGTTTCAAATTAACAAGATTTAATATCAACCAGACGACATCGGCGTAAGACTCACCCCTCAAAATTATCGACAGGTTCGTTAATTAACTGAAGGAACTCTGCATGATGATCCTGAATGAGTCTCAAAAGCTGGGGATTCTGCTTTCCAAGTTCTTGAAGCATGGGCTGCCATGAGAAGCAAAATATTTAACTCTTGGGAAAAACCATGACTATAACTACCCACTAACTAAATTGCAAATCAGAAGGATGTGTAGACCTGTAAGATTTGAGGGTTTGTATGCACCATCGTCCGCAAGGCTTGAAACTAAAATGTGAACAATGATAACAAACCTCATTCAGTAACTACTTCACAATTAGTTCTATTTGAAATCCATAGTCCACACAAAATAAAGCAAAACATGAATTTAGGCCTTTGTACAAATGATATACATGTAATGGAATGATATGGCTGCACTAATGCAATTCATATGCAGAATTTTCTGATCGAATGTCTGTGAATTTTTAACAGATACATTTTATGTGAATCAATGTGTAACGACCTAAGCCCACCGCTAGCAGATATTGTCCTCTTTGGGTTTGCGTTTTGGGCTTCCCCTCAAGGTTTTTAAAACGCGTCTGCTAGAAAGAGGTTTCCACACCCATATAAATAATGTTTCAATTTCCTCCCCAACTGATGTGGGATCTCATACTCCATCCCCCTTCGAGGCCCAACGTCCTCGTTGGCACACGTTCCCTTCTCCAATCGATGTGGGACCTCACACAATGGGTAAAAAGATGCAAACTAACAGCCATTAGGTGAAAAGGACTTCAAAGTCCAACCAACCGGTTTTTAAACCCCATGCACTAAGACATCTAGTAAAGAAAGCTAATGAGCTTACCAATCAGGAAACCCCCATAAATGATGCTTCATTAGTTACCTGTGGATTGTTTCTAAGGAATTCAAGAGATCCAAGATTACCGCCGCCACCGCTGCCGCCACCAGCAGGAAGTGCCTCCAGTATGATTGTCACCAGTAAAATTAGTGAATGTTAGCAAACAAAGAAACACGCTGTTCAAGCATGCATCCAAAGATACCTGAGGAAACATGTTCAAGGGGGCTGTGTTGGGTGCTCCAGAGGCAGGTGCAGGAAGGGATCCATCAGTTCCAGTGGCTTGACCAGAACCAAAACGACCCACTGGTACTGCAACTTCTGCAGATTCCGGGATACCCTGAAATAAAAAACACCATTAGTGACTGAACATATCCAGACCAGGTTTCAAAGAACGTATGATTTAGACATACGGAGTACAAGTAATCCACTGCACGCTCTGGATTGTTGTATGCAGCTCTTAGTGCACGAACAACTGTTTCTCTGTCCCAGTTGCCACCTCCCATATCCATTATTTGTTGAATGGTCTCTTCCAGGTTATTACCAGCGACCAAATTTGAAGCAGCTTGACCGTACGTATCTGTTTGCACACTGCAAACGATTCCCCAAAAAGAAAGAATGAGAAACTTTCTCGCCAACAGGCAAAGAGTTTCATTTATAAATAAAGCAAAAGAAGAAGAAACATATTGCAAATAGCTATGTAATATGAGCTGTTCGTCCCAATAGTTAATAATCAAGAATGCCCATCAAAGTCTGTAGCTTTTAACAGATTGGACATTTGTAATATCGTAGCCTAGTTTTAGGATTATACAAATAGATGGTTGATTTACTAAGTAATTCTTGCCTCTTGAAGTTAAAAAATGTCAAAAAGGAAATAGGAGCCATACTTATCTGTCGCCCTGTCTGAAGTAGATGTAGTGTTCTTAGGGGCACTGGAAAACAATAACAAAAAATGCATATGGATAATAATTATTCAACAAATTGAGAGAAAATGCAAAAAGAAGATCACTCTTGAAAAACTAACGACGGCGGGGCTGGTGCGGGAGCTTGAGCTGCAGGAGTCGGTGATGGTGCAACTTGGGTAGGAGGAGTTGAATTTATAATTGGTTGAGCTACAGGTGGGTTTTGAGCAGGCTGCAATAAATAGGCTCCAGAGGTGGTTAACATTAGAAAACAATAAACACCTAGTTACAAAAATAGGCAATATTACCTGAGTCGATGACTGCCCTGCTGAGCCAGACGTTTTGCTCTGTTATGCATACAAATGAGCGTAACCATATTTGACATTTTAGCCATCCATTAAAATCCAAAACAAAAACTTTTCTTATGTGCTTTTTATATTTAGAAAATTATAGAACCAAGATACCTTGCTGAGCATGACAACTAGGAAACCCTCTTCAGATACTTTGTTTTCTGCCAGCGTAGTTTCATCTTTTAGAACTTTACCATTGTGTATCAATAATTGCTGACCACAAGGATAATTAGCCTTTCCTTGTATATCTTCAATATGTTTCTTGACAGCCATCACCTTCACCAAAAATTTTACAATGATAATTATTAAATAAATAAATAAAAAAAAACAAAAAATGCTTATGTTCTATTTGGTTGCCTAAGCGTAACAACCCAAGACCACCGCTAGCAAATATTGTCCGCTTTGACCCGTTATGTATCGCCATCAGCCTCACGGTTTTAAAATCGTCAGTTAGAGAGAGGTTTCCACACCCTTATAAAGAATGTTTCGTTCCCCTCTTCAACCGATGTGGGATCACACAATCAAGCGTCCTTGCTGGCACACCGCCCAATGTTTGGCTCTGATACTATTTGTAACAGCCCAAGCCCAAGTCAACCGCTAGCAGATATTGTCCTCTTTGGGCTTTCCCTTCTGAGCTTCCCCTCAAGGTTTTCAAACATGTCTACTGGGGAGAGCTCGAAAGGGAAAGTCCAACGAGGAGAATATCTGCTAGCAGTGAGCTTAGGCCGTTACACTAAGATCTCGAATTATTTCACGTCATAATAAATTTAAAATGAACTCCAATGTTTGTTATCACATCAAAGAGATTTATCTTGTTTTTACGTTAAAACTTTTCTTAACTAAAACCATCGGATTTTGAAGGATTTCATAGAATTTGGTGGTAAAATGCTTATTTAACCATGTCAAATTATAACTTTCTATTAATAAATCAAGATTAAAAGCCTAAATAAGTAAGACTATTATTATTATTATTTTTTTCCCTTTTCCAGCTACAATCCAAGCACAATTTAATTTCATTCCTTTCAAATCTTTCTGTTCCAACAAAATAATGAGTTCATTTCTTAAACTTCCTAGGATCCAAGTTCAAATCAGAGGGTTAAAGTTGCATCATTGAAAAAAAAAAAAAAAAAAAAAAAAAATTAAAGATGCCTGCTACAATCTACAGCTAAAACGGCATCCCCAACAAGAACAGTGCACTGCATGATATCTTAGACTTCTCCAACTCGTGTTCAAACAATGCAAATCCAGCAGATCACGCAGAATTAATAATAATAATAATAATAATAATTGTGATCATCGTTCAGAAAGAAAAGCAGCTTACAGATTAAGTAACACACGAAGCCCTAATTTTAGAATCTTTCCAATTCCAAACAATTCGTCCAGTAGTTTCACACTGTTCCAATTCTATAATCACAATTTCTTATGAAGAAAAAAAAAAACAATTAAACAAAGCTGAAGTTGCCAGCTGGGTCAATGCTTGCGAACTCAGCTACATTAATAAATTAACTACAATCCCAAATAGTCGCATGAAGAAATCGAGGAGATTAATGAAAAAGAAAAAGAAATGTTAGAACTTACGGTGTCGGTGGGCTGAACCCTAATCTCGAAGTGGCTTCCCTTGAGGGTCTTCACAGTGAGCTTCATTTCAACGAATTACCAGA